GAGAGAAGCTCATCGTGGATGTTTCCTGCTCCATGGACCCCTAGAAAGAACAGGTAAGACATACCAACTATTCTCATTGCCAGCAAAATACTGACAGATTCTTCAGCTAAGTGGAAGCTGATGACTCCAAAACAAATTAATGAGGCACAAAGAAGTGTTAGGATAGAGAAAATCAGAGAGCATTTGAATATCAGAAAGTAATTTCTACAGATATCACATGCTGTGAATGAGATCTTTTAGCACAGTTCAGTAGCCCAGCACAGCTGGTACCCAAAGAGCTTTTTGCAATAGAGTGGCATTAAGTCTGAGACCCTCTACAAACAGACTTACTTGAGTTGCACAGCCAGTATTCAAAATAAAATTGTTTTAAATACATTATTTGGCCAAGAATAATGGCAAACACCCATCAGTAACAAACATGGCAGCAATTGTAATTATTCTATTTGATCTGCTTAATACTAAAAAACAAAATATGGACTATCTGATAACGATGACTACAAGGTCATTCGGAAATGATCCCTCGTGGTTACTTCATCAATAAGATTTAAAAAATACTCTGTGATCCACATAACAAACTGCTTGTCCTGTTGCCTGAATTACTGCAATTATGTATTTGCTAGAATTGAGAAAAAAAATCAATATTGATGAGATCTAGAAAAAAAATATTTACTTAGCTGTGGCTCCTTGACCTAAATTTGCAATATCCATGGAATTTGAAAGTATTGTGAATAAAGACACTTGACCTGAATTCAGAGATAATAAACATCCAGAGAAAAAACAAAAGCAAGTTTTTCCACAAGTTTTACCATAAGCAAAATGATACCATTTTCTGCTTCTCTTAATGTAGCAAATCTTTGCGAACAGATGGCAGCAGATCTGTGTGATGCAGTGGGCAGCATTTCCATATCACGCTGCTGGCAAATATCACCACCATTTAACTCATGTATTCCTGTGCACACCCTCTCAACACATGGACACATTTCTACCTGTCAGAGGTGCTCAGCACCTACCATTTGAGAGTAATTAGTGCTCACGTCTGGCTTCTCCCTGCATTGTACACGATGAACAGCCAGTTTTTTCTTCACTCCTTCAATGACTACAAAATTAACATTGCCCTCTGCTTTTCAGGCAAAAGCAGATAACCCAAATTCAGCCATTCTAGTTTAGACAAAAAACAGCTGGTCTATGCTTTAGGCTGGTAAAACAAGAGGAGCCCCTTCTGTGAGATGAGGTATTACATGGGGAGTGCAGTGAATAAAGCCTGTCCATAGCTCCCCCCACTTTAGTCCCCTCCTTACTGCCCTGCCATGGCCCTTGAGACATCAGCCTTCTCTTTAACAGCATCACTTCCACTAACTGCAGGTACTGACATCCATTCCTCTCCCATGACATATTTTCACCACAGTTTTACCAGCAGGGAGGGCCTAATTGAATTCTCTTCTCTATGCTGTCCAGAATTTCCTCAATATATACAAGGGACTTCAGCATTTGTTTAAACTGAGTTAGGAAATTCAGGAGTTTAGGGAGACGGAAAGGGGAAAAGGGAAACGGATGGGAGGGTGAGACATGACCCAGGAAAGCACAACAAAATCTCAAGGAAATACACACAAATTTAAGAAAATACTCTTCCCAGCAATCAGTGCACTAGCAAAATTATTTGCTTATTTAGGCCCAGATTTCACCCTTTATTTTGCCATAAGGTATATGACTGGATAGCAGAGCGCATTTTCAGTGTATTTGTTGCAGAACATAATTAACCATGGCCAGCATTACATTCATTTCTCATATCCTGTGTGCAGCTGTAGGATGAAGAGGATGTCTTTCACAAGCACACATCTTTATTACAATCTCAGCATTGTCTGCAAGATCAGAACACAGAGTTCACATCCCAAAATAATCCTAGAGATTCTCAGTACTATATAATATGAGGAGTCAAGCAAATTTCACTTTTACATGTACTGCAGCAACCTGCAGATTAGTTTGAAGACCAGAGAAAATCCCCATGCTCCTCACCAAGATGTTGACACAGGACCCAGCAATCCTCAACCATCTCTGCATTTCTAGCTAGAAAACTCTACAGACCACTCACATTTCCTGAAGAGAAGGTACAAAGAACTGAGTTGTTGCACATACAATCCTCTTCAGAAAAATATTCATTGTCAACAGTTACTTGCTTTTCATTATTTATTACAAGCAATAAAAATCCAAAATAATTCAGTCACCAGGTTGAAACTATGAAGTCAATAGAGGTTTGCATATCACCTGTCAAACTTACTGCTACCTCTTAGAAGCCTTACATAATTCATTATTTATTTTAGCAACTGAATACATAGATAGCACTTTGTTCTCAAGATATCCTCCATAGATGACACTTTTCATATACTGCATATACCTTAAATATTAATGCTCTTTATGTATCGCAAGAAACTTTCAAAGGTTTTTCTATGTACACAAATTATGAACAGGTGTTAAACCAAGACCAGCTGCAAGGCAGCCAAATTGAAGTGGAGGGTGTATGGAATTTTAAAAATATTTTTTATTTTAATTTTCCATTTTCCAGAAGACTTTGTATTTTCAACTTTTTACTCTGATTGGGAGACGGAGGATGTGGAGGAGAATATCAGACTTTCATATAGCCTCAGTTATTATTAACTTTGTGGTCTGGTTTATATCTCCAGCTTTTTAAAAGTCAATTAGCCATAAGAAACTCCCTCAATATCTCAAAATAAATTTCCACACTAAGCAGAGCTGAAAAGATGCCTCAGATTTATGATAGTGAGATGGAATATTGATAACTACTTCACTGCAAGTGATTTATATCTGTCCTGACAGACTGCCTGGAAATGCATAAAGCAAATAAAATACTTGTGGTTTCCAAATTACCCACAGCAAACACATTCATACCACCCAAGCCACAGCCTATAGAGATAAATTTCACTGTTGAGCTCAGCACAAGAAAATGCCATTGGGTTAATTAGCAATTGTTCAGCTTGAGTGTTTATGCAAGAGACAGAAATACTTAAGAGTTAATGATTAGAGCCTCAAGAAACCAAACTAAACCCCAGCAACTGGCACACAGCGCTTCAGTTACACCTAACTGTGCCATGTTACACAAGGGGCAAATTCAGTCTTGTTTTGCACACTTCATGATGCATTCCCTGTACAGACAGGAAAACAGTGAGATGTTCCAGGGGGCACTTTGGAAGACCTAGGTAAGTACTCTATATGAGGTGCTGATTTCCAAAGCCTCCATTGAGCATCTAAAGAACAAAACAAATAAACAGTGCAGATACTTTTTCTACTCTCCTTCCTTACAAATGCAAACGTATCTTTAAAGACAACGTTTATTAGGTTTAAATATTGCAAACAGAAGAATATAATAAGAGGTTCACAATGACTTTCAGCAGCTAAATGCACATGATTGCACACGTTATTTGCATCAGCAGTCCAAAGGAAACAAAACTGACAGCTTTAATGTTATGAGCTTGGTTGGTTTTACTTCAATTTAAGAACCCATACTACAATCTTCGGAAGCATGGATAATATTACAACAGCCCTAAGGTAGTTAAGGTCTTACCAAAAGCAAGTGGGTATTGAAAATGTTGGATTAGGATACATTCAGGTACCTGCAGAAAGTGTTAGGCAAAAAGCCCACAGCATGTAAACATGCAGATCTGCATGTTTCAAAACAGCCTATATAGGTGCCAGGAAAATTCAAGAACAGTACCATATGGGAAGCTAAAAGCAAATAGCACAAGAAAAATATTCCTCCCTTACAGATTCCCAATAACACTTATAAAGTGAGGATGAATTCACAAAAGGGCACCTTGAAGTTGAAGAAATACCCAGCACAAGAGCTACCAAGAAAGCAACACAAGCCTAAACTCATAAGAAGCTTCTCAAATGCCAGTCCAGAAGGACTGCAGGAACTTTTATTTAGAATTAAAAATAAAATAAAATAATAGAATAAAACAGCAAGATGGTCAATAATTAAAGGGGAAATTAAAAGATTGAAGGCCTCTTACATATTTTTACTAATATTTTATATATATATATATGTATACATATATATATATATATATATATATATATATATATATATATATACATGAAAGAGAGTGTTTCCTGGTCTCAGGTATAGAAGTCACAGTCACACCAGACTAAAAATTACTTTACTGTGAGGTATTTAAGACACTAATAAGGATGAATGATTTCAGGTGGGTAAAACAATCTGTCAGCAAAACTCAGGTAGAAATATTTGCTTTCGGGAAGAATGTGGAGGCCTTATCTGCAGATACTTGCAGAATGACTCTTGCTCAAAGGTCTGTGCACAGAGGTACCCACATTTCTCAGCCACAAGAGCTACAGTCAGTCTTACTCCCATCAGGTGACAGAACACTGAGCTGAAAACCAAAAATCTCACTCTTCGTGTGTGTACCTAGCAAGACTGAACCAATCCTGCAGGTACTCAACTTTATCTGAAGACTTTGTGCCACTAGAACCAGGAAAGCCCTTTCCTTTCGATCATGCTGTTCATTCTCATTACAGCTGCCAATCCAAAAGCCAGCTGCCCTTTTCAAGCATTAGCTGGACTTAGTTCCACTCATTAAAACAAACAAACAAAAAAACATCCCAACCAAAACAAAAAAGCTCCACCAAGCACTTTTTGCCTTTAAGTCCTGTTGCAGGCATTAAAAAAAAAAACTCACTCAAAATAAAAATCAGTTGTGAATTATACATCTTATGTGGAAGAGCCTTCAATCAGAAAAGTTATGGAATAGTGAGCTGAAGCACATGAACATTAGACAGTGCTTTCATGTGTAACCAGGTCAACTGAAGGTCTAGATGTTTTTTTCCTTTTTCCCTTTTTCCACAGCTAGAGACACTTTGGCCTTTTTAAAGGGATTGCCTATAACAAGCATGGGAGTAGACAAAATCTGAAGTGTTTTCATGATGATGTTTTTTCAATTCCTATATAACTTGACTTTGTGTTTATTTACCTCTACACTTTGAGTAGTATTTCATTTATGTAGTAAGTGCTGTACACTTGTAAGAAGCAGTACAAGGTAAGATGAATCTTGTAGCCTTGACTCAGGCAATACTGCCATAGACTTTAAAGGAGAGGGAGCTTTGCAGCTTCAATTATTAGCAACAATGACTCTACTTACCTAGGACAGGAAAACAGATTATTTTACTTATGTCATGACACACAGCACACAGAGTATTTTTAGTCCCCCACTCAGGGTTTAGAATCCTTTCCAAAAGATTTCCCAGATCCAGTCTTCTCCACACCACTGAGATAGAGGACAGGCATACTTACCGGCTTTAGTTTTCAAGAGTGTTTGGCCGCTATTACAAATAAAGCAGCAAAAGCCTGGCCGTATGTTCTGTGAGATGCACGAAATTTAACTGAACTCCTAAACCAAAGTCCCCACACTACGGGCACGTCCCTGCCCCCGCTGCGGGGGGGAGAGCATCCCAAGCTCTCTGGGATATGACCAAACGAGAGGACCCTTAAGGGAAACAAACCAATCCACCCTCAGAAGCACTATACACATAGACAGACGTGTGTATATATACGTATATATGCACGTATGTAATATATATATGTACGTACGGCAGCCGCGCAGCCGGGCAGCAGCGCGCCGCACCTGCCGGGCTGAGGGCAGCGCTCCCGCGGAGCGCCCCGCCCGTCCGGCTCCCGGGACACGCCTCCCACCGCCGCGGCAGCCGAACGCCGCGGCAGCCGTGCTCCCGTCCGTGCCGCCCGAGAGGCGAGCCCGGCCCGCTCACCTCGCGGCGCCGCCGCGCCCGTGCCCGCTCCCGCTCCCGGCCGGCCCTCCCTCCTCACGGCACCGGCCCTCCCTCCTCACGGCACCGGCCCTCCCTCCTCACGGCACCGGCCGCTGCCCCGGCCCGGCCCCGCGCGCGCCCCTCACGGCCCCCCGACTCCGCCCGCGGGCACGCGCGCGGCCGGGTCCGCCCCCCGCGCGCGCAGAGGGCGGTGCCCGCGAGCGCGCGCGCGCGCCTCGCCTGATCCGGGCGCTGCCCGGCGCGTGCGCCGCCCGCGTGCCCGCGCGCGCCCCTCTCCCGCCCCTCGCGCGCGCGCGCCCGCGGAGCCATCCGGGTCCCGGCGGCGCGGCGGGGCCGGGGCCGGGGCCGCGATGCATCTGCACCAGGTGCTGACCGGCGCCGTCAACCCCGGCGACAACGGGTACTCCGTGGGCAGCGTGCAGGACACCCCCTTCACGGTAACGGGCGCCGCGGCCTGGGCACGGCGGCCGTAGGCCCGGGGCCAGCGCAGGGAGGGCAGCCCGGCGGGCGGGGGGCGCTGCGGGCGGAGCGGCACCGGCGGGGCCGGGGCGGCCGGGGATCGCCCGTCAGCCCCGGGCAGCGCCCGGCCTCTGCATCACCCGCGTCTGTGTCCTCGGTGGCTGCCTGCCTGCATTTTTTAATGCTTTAAAATGTATTTGTGTGTGTGTTGGTGTCTCATCTGCAAAGCGCACACACTCAGTTGCACTGGGGTTCTGACGAAGCCTGGCCGCTATTGATGAGCGTCTGCCTGCCATTACTGAGGCCGATAAAACACGAATTTGTCAAATGCTCCCCTCAGACTAGAAAAGAAATAGAAGAAATAGAAAGAGATGATAAAGAGATAGACTAAGTGAATTTCAAGAGCCCCGTAGTTTATAAAACTGTTTGTTTCTCATTCACGAGCTATTTTTGTTTATTGTCAATTTCTAATGTCAGTTTCACTACGTTAGGTTATGTACGCTTGGTATGCTTTGATTTTAGTGAGTAATCAGCTTCTGCAGTGTTCTCCTGCTGCCATCTAATCGGTATCTTATTCTTTAGTTATCACTTGTCTTACTGCATTTTATATTAGCAAGCTTATATCCCAGGCACAAACCATTTCCAAGCAAAATGATGCAGAGCATCCTTTTTGGTGTAAGATAAATGTCAGCAGACTCGTGAAACATTTAAAGCTTGCAGTGAATTATCATCGATGTCTTATTTCAGTAATGAATGCTGGAGAGTCTTAAGAAATAAAAGGTGCCATGTTTGTCTTTATTTTCCTGGTTCTGCTGCTATGCAGCCATACTGCTATTAAAGGGACCTCTGTTACTTTTAATATTTATATAAGAACTCATTTACTCATATTTGCATTCCAATGTGTTTCTTTTTACTATGACAATTTGAAAAGTCAATCAAATGATATTATGCAACACAACTTTATGCTAATTCTTGTCATAGTTTTGATAACATCAATAATGAATCATAATGTCTATTGTGGTTTATGCAAGAATTTTCCAAGAGCAAAGGTAGTATCTTCCAAAACGATGCAGTATTGCTTGGTAAGATTTTAATTATGGAACTACATATAACAGACCACACTGTTTCTCTGGCTGCTGTATCCAATTTTTTTATAATGCAATAAACAAGGAACTGAAGAGATAAGTATGTTTCTATAAGTGTATCTTCTGGACTTCTATAGCTATAACTTTCTTCTTTGCATTTTCTTCATTCTCTGTATTCATGGTATTATTTCCTGCTCTTTTAGGCCTTGATCCTAGAGTAAACTGTACAGTTAAAAACTGCCTGCAAACAGTTTGGGGTCTTACATCCAGATTCTTAGGAAATTCAAACCTGTGTGACTTAGTAGAATCATAATCTACCATTGACTGCCGGCGGTTCATTGGTGCCTAACCTCAAATTCTGTCAGTCTGTATCACCTGTATGGGCAGAGCTTTGTGCCCCCAAACCGCTGAGCTGTTTGGAGGCAGAACTTCAGCTCAGATCCTGGGGCAGAGTTTGCAGTTCAGGTGACAGAGCGGTTCAGAGACAGACTGCAGCCCCGCTCTGAAGCCCCAGCACCTGTCAGGCACTGGCACACAGCACCAGCAGAGCAGAAGAGGGCAAGGGAGATGTGCACAGCACACTGAGACTCCGTGGGTGTCTGTGGGAACCCATAGGGCTGTGGCACAGGAGCTGCTGTTTGTGTGCACATGTGCCCACTCACGTTTTGGTTGGTGTTTGGGCATTGAGAATGCGTGAGAATGGTTCAAAACTGCTACAACTGATTCATCACAGGCACTTGAAAATACAGCTTTTTTTGTGTGTGCAGAAATGAATCACTGCTGTTAAAAATACTCTGCTTAACAGCAGAATAATAGCTTGGGTATGTATACATATGTACCCACTAGTTAATAGGTTTGGATCTATTTCCCTTTTTTCTTGAGGAGGAGTAGAAGAAACTTCCTCTTAAGATGAGTATACTTTAGATGCCTAAGTCCATCAATCTTAGGATTCTGAGAGCAGAAACACATTTTCTTCTAACTTGATTAGGGACATTACAATTCTCAGGTTCTTCATTCTTCCCTTCTTCTTTGGTTTGTCCTCGGCTTGTTTACACGACTCCTTGCTGGGGATAAAGGTAAGCTTTTAATTTCCAAGTCGGTGTAGCTGGAGATAAGATGATAACACAATCTGACTCAACTTTTTAAAAGCTTTGGTAAAAGCCATCTAGTCATCTAGCTTTCTGAGAATAAGACAGGGAAAATAATTTTTCCACTGTTTTTTTCTCTGCCTGCTAAAACATAGGTGGGAGTCCACCTGAGGACTCCCACAGACACCATAAAACTGTCGAGATCCAAAGAAATAGAGACAGGGGGCTGTAGGTTGGCTACAGAGGTTTTGTCAGTGCTTATTCTGGAATGTGCAGGGTCCTTTCCACCCTCAGCTCCCACATCTGCCTGCACCAATCCCAAGGAAGGGCTGAGGCACAGAGATGTGTGGTATGTCTGCTGGATGGTCTGGTAGAGCAGATAATACACAGGAAAAACTGTTGGAAGGGTGATTAGAAGCAAAATAGCTCCATAATGCTGTCTTGTACCAGACAGTCTCCTCAGCCTCCTCTGAGCTCTGGAAAAGATACTGCTTAAGCAAGGGGTCAAAGTACTGAATGACAGAAGTTCTGGGAATAATTCTGTGCACTTTTCAGCTTGCTGTTAGTTCATGTTCTCATTTTAGCAAATATTGCTGTGTTCCACAAGTGACTTTACAGAAGATTGAAGGTTGAGCTTTAAGCAAAGGGCCTTACAGCACACACCCTGCCTTGATAGAAGAGATATCTATACCTCACAGTCTAACTGGCAGCTAATACACTCTTAAAAATAGTAAAATGCATTTTTTCAAACCACAGCTGATTTCATTTAGGTTTTGTTCTGAAAGAGCTGGTTAAGCAGCTACAATAGAATGTAACTGTTTCTAAGGTTAGTCTGGGTTTAAAAATGAATAGATAAAAATAGCTATGTCATTTACCTAGAGGCTGGATTCTGTAAGTATAAAAATTTCAAGTGTCAGACAAACAGGAAATAATACTTACTTCTGCACTATTTGCACAAAATTATAAAAATTCTTAATGAAAAATCAAAAGGTCAGATTTTAGGGATATCTAAGAACTTTACTGATAAAAGTGATAAAAAATTCATTTATTTTTCATTTTTGAAAAGGATAAGGTTCTTAACGTATTTCATGACAGTACTGACACTTGGCCTGGAGCTGCGTGTGGTGAATTCCAGAAGCTGTTGCAGATGAGTTTCCCACACCCCTGTAAATTTTTTACCTCTTTGAAACCAGCAAAATCTTCATTTACACAGATGTCCACAAGATACAGCAATTGAGAATAGGTTTTCTCTGCTGTGTCAGGTTCTCCTACTTTTTCACTGCTTCATCCTTCTTAAAACACTTATTCGCAAATCCCTCTCAGTTATATATTACTATCTACATATATCTATATGTTCTGCACTGTTTTTATGTAGACTGGATTAGAGATGCTTAATATCTGAATCCTTACTAAGTTCTTTTATCTCTGTATGTTTAAGCATGTTTTAAAGTATTTAATAATGAATTTGTCTGAAATGTCAGTTTAGGAAAGCCTTTTTTACAGGTCACAGGCTAGTAGTAAGTTAGGAGTTGTTTCTCAGTTATTTTGCTAGGTTGCATTAAGTGTATGTAATTCTAGTAGTGCTTGGAAGGAGGAGGGGAGGAAGTGTAAGTGTTGTGTCCATTGATGAGCGCTTGGAAACGGTTCAGGACTCAGGTGTCTTCATCACTAAGTGGAAGGTGGAGGAATTTCTGCCAGAAACTTAAAGATAAGTGTTGTTTTACTAGAGGAGTCCTTTAAGTCCAATACAGACCTTCAGGTTTCAATAGATGTTTTAATTTGTGTAATTTTAGATGTTTACGATTTTTTTTTTAATAGCATTGTGGGCTGATTCTGTTTCTTCCACATCATTTACCATCTCTAAATGCCTCTGCACCCCTGATAGTACACACAGGAGCTTGAGGACTTGTGTTTTATTACGTTTATGCCTAATTTGAAAAGAGTTGCAGGTTATAGAAAAATATTTTTGTTGGCTTTTTTTTTAATACAGAGAAAAGTATTTTTATAAAGAAAAACCAAGATGAGAACATGAAGGAATAATTGTTTCCCTGTCTCTTAGTTCCAGAAGCAAACTGGAAAACATGAGCAGCTGAAAAAGACAGAAGCATGTTCTGCTTTCATATTATCTGAAAACTGAGGATATAGCATAAACTCTTACACTAGGACACAATGTCCTACTTCTGTGTGGTGCTCTTGCATTCAATTAAAGTTTTGTAATTGTTCATATCATTGGTCCCAGATCTTGACAGATAGAGCAGACATTGGCAAACTACAGCTTATTAGTTGCTTATGGATCCTGAAAGTCATCCTTGCATTCTGGCAGTTTTACAACTCCATTTAATTTTCTCCTTGAAGTTATCAGCGACATTAGAAATGGAGGTTGGCAGATATTCCATGTGGGTGGTTCTTACTGCTCTTGTTTTGTTCAGTCACTGCTCATAATTCTGTTTATTTAAGAGCTCTGTGCTGCTCTCATCCATTACTGTATCTCAGTGCTCTATTTTTCATCTTTCCTGTCTATATGGCTTACCAATTTTCCATTCCTTTTTTCAGGCTAGGCAGGTTGTCAGTCTGCTACCACCAATATCGTGGCCTCTGTTTCTCTGGCAGGAAAGACCTGTGGTGGCACAAATGACCTCATGAAGGTGTTGTCAGCTAAATCCTTAAGAAGGAACTACTGATGTTAAATATTATGACACTTCCCTGTTCTTTGTCACTATGGGGTGTTTCTGCTGCATTACCAGCTTAAGGACAAAAGAAAAGAGGATTTAACAGAAAAGTGTTCTCTTCAAGTATAAATATGTTAATATAATGAAGACATCATAAAAGCAATCAAATGAAAAACTTGTATTTAGGCACATAACATGAAATATGAAAATGTCTTTCAGTACATAAAAGTATATGGATCTTTTCCAAATGTGTTCTAATGAATTTATAAAATAATTTCAAAATTTCATATACTTTCAAGAAATAAGTCACATTCTTAGAACAAATGTCTACACTCAGAAAATGACCCCAGAACCAAGAGATAGCAGCACTTGCTCTAACAATGTAGAGCTGAAGGCTGGTATCCTGCTGCTGGGAATGGGCTCTGCCTACCCCGAACCAAGGGATCCCCTCTGTTGGCACAGGATGTTCAGGCTGCTGAGTCACTTGTTGGTGCAGCAGTAAACACAGGCAAAGAGTAGGATGGCTGCAAGTGCCAGTAATAAGATTTCACAAAGGAAAGAGATCTCTGTATCTTGATGAATAAGAACCACCTTTTTACTTAACTGTGTAAAAATATGCTAAATAGCTAATTAGCTGAAAATTTAATGCTTTGTTGGTGAAATAAGTGCAGGTAGGGGACAGGAGAGATGAAAAACTAAAATGTTTGAATAGAAAGACACTAAATTCTTTTGCTTCACAGAATAAACAGACATAGCCAAGTATAAAATATTTTCTGTTTCATGCATTATGAGCTGTATACACATATACAATGGGCATGTTTAAGAGCACTAAGCATAAGGAAAGCGAAGTTGAGAAGTCTTTTCCTTTTATAATTTCTGAGATACACATACATGTTTTTAGCTAATAAAATTGCAACTAATGATAAGTTATGTATAATGTAGTTTGAAATTTGAAATCAAGTTATGAATACGAACAGTGAGTAGGGGATTTGAAAGGTTTAAGTCCTTGTTTTAAGTGGATCAGCACCTCTTTTTATTTAGGTAATTTAAGTCACATCTTTTAGTAGCTTTGTATTGGTAGGTATGAAGAAGACTATTGAAAAGAAGACGAGTCAATTCTTTTCTGTTTTAATGCTCACCCTTTGAAGTTTAAGTAGGAGAATCAATTTCTTGTGAATATTTGAATTCTGAATAAATTATTGGAACAAGAGGATGTGCTTTTATTTTTTTGTCTGTTTCTGGGCATTCACATCCTGATCTTAATCTTCTTCCTTCTTACTAAGGAGCCTATACTGTTTCATCCAGTATTCAACACTGCTGGTGAAGCTTGCAGAAAGCCTCTATAAAAATAGGAAAGCAACAAAACAAAAGGACTTTCTGTTCAATGCCAGAATTTATTTCAGAATCTCATCTTTCATTTTCTTACATTCTGGAAATAATCCTATTCAATTTTAATAATAACTTACTCCCTTCCAGACTGAGTCTAGTAATCACATAGCCTAGTCATCAAGAAGCTGGGATATTCTTTTACACAGATAATCTCCCTCCAACAACCTTTTAGCAATCCTGCTTACATTGTGAATCACTCCAGTATCAGTTCCTCAGAGCTCCCCAGAACAGCAGTGTGGGTTATTATGTCTCACACAACACCGTGCCACTCTATTTCTGTGAGATGACCTTGCAAATCTTTTAGACAATCTGTTTTATCTGCAATTTTTATTTTTGTGTGTGCAGTTGTATGGTGTGTTAATTTCTGGGGACTGAGTTTCTGCTTTGCTGCTTGCTGTTTCCTTCTGTTTCATGCAGTGACGTCCTTTCACTAAATTAAGCTCTTTTTTTCAGCCTTTCTCACTTGTTGCTCCTTCCCAGGAGAATTAGAAGTAGGCATAGAAAGTCATGAGACCTAAACTGTCCATTCTAATTCCAGTTGTTGTCTTGCCCCCCTGTTTTAGTACAGCCACCCAGGGGCACTGGTGGTAAATCAATACAAATACAACTATTAGACATTTACAAAAAAGTAGCCTTTACACTGATTGATCTCAAAGGAGTTGGCAAGGGCTGACTCAGTATTTTGGAAATTATTGTGAAAAATCCTGTGAACAAGTTAAAGTGATAAGTAATTTTGTGCCATCTGAAATTCACTGTGGAGGACTTGCACTCCGTGCCTAACTCAGATGTTGTAAAATTTCTGCCTACTGTATTGGAATCAGTGGAAAACTTACTTCAAGGAAAGAGACTTCCAGCTCTATCTGTAAAAGGCTTAGTGGAGATTGATCCTAGGGAGAGATTTCTGTGCCTGAAGGTGGGAGCTCAGTAGGACAGATAATCTGGAGTGATTAAACTTTTTAGAACAGGTGAAAGGTTGGCAGACAGGTATATATTTATCCTGCCAATAAAAAGTGCTGCAGACTGTCACTGTTTTACAGCTACTATGTAAAAACATTATTTAGAATATAGAGTGTATTGCACAACAGTATATCCAAAAGAAATCTTTGTTGTTTTACAGTCTTATAGTAATGTGCACTTCTTAAAACTCAGAAAAGCACGGAAATTACATTCTTATAGAAAAGAATCCCTTTACAATCTTGATTAAAAAAAGAAATAATAACGAAGGCAGACAGGGGTACAAGACACACCTATTGAAGAAAGATACATGCAAATTCATTAAAAAAATGCTCCTGGCTTGACTGCCTTGCTTGAAGAGGCAACAAGAATTGGAAGGGAGAAAAAAATCAACTAAAAACTAAAACAAAAAAAAAAAAAAAAAAAAAGAAAAACTAAGCAGAGAGCTCCAGTTCTCTATACAACTTTAGGAGTTTGGTTGGTTTTTTTACTGTTTCTGTTTGCTGTGATTTAAACCCTGGTAGAGTTATGGTCTTCCTCGCTACTTTGTTTTTCCTTGTTGCTCATTAAATTAGTGAGTAACAAACCCGCTACATTGTAACTTGCTGTTCAACTGGGATATTCACGGCTTCCAAAAACATCACTCCTGTAACAAGTGTTCAGTTAGCTTTTAAAATAAACATGTAATTTTATTTCTTTTAAAACTTATTTCAGGCATATGGCTCTGGTTGTGACATTGTTATTCTGGCAAATGACTTTGAATGTGTGCAGATTATTCCCGGTGCTAAACATGGAAACATCCAGGTCAGTTGTGTGGAGTGCTCCCAGCGACAAGGCAGGGTAAGGATTTTAATAAATCTGTATCCAATTTTTTAAATTTTGAGAATTTTAATTTGAGTAATTAAACGGAAACATAATACATTAAGGGAATGTAAGAGTTGTTTTCACAATAAAGATTATGGTTTACTAATCTGGGACTTTCTGAATAACGCCTCTTGTGTTAGTCTTATACTTTCAATTTATCAGTAATCTGGGGGAGTGAAGAGGGTAGAGGAAGCAGGAGACATGTTGGAACAAAGGTTTTATTCTCTTTCTGCGACCTGCAGTAAGAGGTGTCACAAAATGTGGACAGATGCATTAGATATAGAACAATATCAGAACTGGAACGGTACTGAAATGATGGTTACTGGCTCTATTTTGTCTGCTTTCATCTAACTAAAGAAGAAATTGATAAATCGTTTATCTATACATATATATGCACATATGTGTACATGCTTGTGTGTCTTGCAAAGTAATGAATTTGAAATACTTACATGTTAGAAAGGCTTCAGCACATTTAATGTGTCTAGAAGTGCTACACTATGAGCTGTCATAACTGCATGGCCCCTTGACTTGCTTTGTGGTTTCATTTTAAATCCCTAAACAATGCTAGAGAGACAGGTTAGAAAGAGGAGGGAAAAAATTTCTAGGAGTTCCAGTAGTGCGCTGAACAAATTTTGTTTGTCAGTTGTCACTGCTGACTAGAATTAGCTGGGTAAAAATTGGTACCAGTACTGAGGAAGCTCAGTTAGGATTTGGGCAGATTTAGTTGGCAGAGCCATTGAACTTCAGCAGTGCAGTCCCAGTAAGAGTGGGAGAGAGATTCCAGCTTCAGAGATGGCCACTACAAGACCACCACAAACCCCTGGGTGGTTCTGCATTCAGGACTCTGAACTCATGGTCTGTTCTTTACTTTGGGACTGACTGTTGTTGCAACCTTCGCTCCCCCTCCCCCTAAGGAAGAAATAAGATTTCATAATAAATGTCGTGAAACTTTTGCATTATTTCCATTTTGAGGAAACCAGATCCTGGATGGGAAGGAACTTAAACAGTTTTTCTTTAAAAAATCTTTTAAAGAAGAAAGAGGAATTTTAAAGATATTTAAAGGTTGAAAGTTAAAATACTCCTAATATGAGTATTAGGAACAGGCCCAGATAAATACCTGAGAAATACTATTTTGTGTTTAGAGATTTCAGTGAATAAGTGGGTGAAAGAAACTGAGGGGTTCAATGACATATGTACTTCAAGTTTTCTATTTACCATTTATCTCCTCTCAAAATGTATTTGAATGTTAAAAATAGAATTGCATTTCTTTCTGCTTCTTGTAACTATTAGTTAGTGATTTAGTGATACAGAGTGGAATCTATGGACACAGACACTAATAATTAATGCATTAGTTAGCTGTGAAGTACACAGAACATGAGCAGAAGCAGTGAAGGCATCAACTTTCTCTTATGCATTAAGAGTAGTTGCCCTAGAAGAATGTGACTCTATGCCACTGAATGAGATGTCTGCCTGTTTAGAGTTAAAATGTGAAAGGTGAGCTTCTTCAAGAGTGTGTTGTCCTCAATTGCCTTAAGAAAATACACCCATAACGCAGTTAATTACATTTGTATTCATTTCACTTTTCAATAACTCTGGCACATAGAAGAGGTACTGGACATTCTTTATCTACTTTGGAATACTAAGGAGCACTTACTCCACTTGCCTCCTAACCTTACATTTTGAGTCTTCAACTTTTTTTTTTTTCTCTTTCCTTTCCCCAGATTGCAGCATCATATGGAAACGCTGTTTGCATTTTTGAACCACTTGGTATAAATTCTCATAAAAGAAATAGTGTAAGTGTGTATTTCATAATTTTAATTCTGTTTAGGCTCTTAGAAGAGGCAAAAGTCTCTCTGCAAGTTATTTTTATTATATTACGTTGGCACACAACAGAATAATGGAGAAACAGTTTCCACCATTCATAATACAACTGGATGGGTAGACTCTTCCACTGAATAACTGTGGACTGCACTTCTCTTAAGTACCCAGGATCTTGTTCTTGAGTCTCATACTAGAATGGCAAGCTGGTATTTCTTACTTGAAGAGGTTGTCAGAGGTGCAGTACAGAAATACAACACAGACTTCTTTAGTGCACCCAGACTTTTTTAACAGCACAGCCATGGCCAAGTACTTGAGTACTGGGGATGTTCTCAAGCAGGTTTCACAATCTTTTTGGCAGCTATACTGCCATCCCTTATGTTCCTGTATGGTCACAGTAGCTCAAAGTAATCTGTAGAAATATTTGTATGTGGAAAACGTCCAGGTCTGGTTTGCAGGGCACCCTGGGATGCACTTACATTTTACAAAACAATTTAAATACATATTAAAACTAGATTTAGCAATCTACCACTGCATACTTTTCCAACAGGCTCAATAGTAATTTCATATAGAAAGAAATACCAATATTTTTATTTTTTGCGGTTGATATGAGAATTAATCCTCATGTTTTTACGCTACAGCAGCTAAAGTGTCAGTGGCTAAAAACTGGGCAATTCTTCCTCAGTTCTATGACTTACAACCTGGCCTGGGATCCTCAAGGTAATGCATCATTTGTGAAGTATTTGGTCAACATTTGTAGTTAGAATGACTTGAACACAAAACGTTTTTAATGTAATAAAGCGAGAGCTTGAATATGCAGATTTTAAATTACCTCTTCTCAGGCAGTGTTGCATAAAATGTGAGGCTACAGTTAACATTTGTTAAGATGCTTTGCCAAGTGTTTGCATCTCTTATGTAAGATCTTAGTTTGGGAATCACAGTGTTGACTTAAATTGTCACTTATAACCATTTCAATAAAATTTTAGCACAAATAAAGTCAACAGTGTACCTAGACATGAATCTTTATAAGATGTCTTGTATTTATTTGAGATGTGAATAGCTATTAAACATCTGCAACATTTATTAGTAAATACAATTCTATGATTCAAATTCTTTGAATTCTTTGGCTTCTTCTTCCCAATACTTTCTTAAAAGATACTATAAATTCAAAATGTTTTAATAAAACCAGCTGGGTGAGATGATGGACTACTCTGTCATATTTAAAATGGACTAAAGTTTAGCTTTCAACTTGTTCTGGATAATTCACAACAAAATATGATGAGAGGCTTAATCTTTCAACATACCTTCATCATCCTGGTTTCATAGGTTTGGTATCACTCCCTTTCAGGTAACAGGTTATTGACAGCAACGGACTTTTTGCAATTGTGGGCGCCTCCGTCTGATGACATTCTAGAGGAAGATGAAGATGATGATGCCAGCAATCAGATCAAGGATGATAAAGTTCTCCCAGTTCTAAATGACTGGAAATGTGTCTGGCAGTGCAAGTGAGATAATCTTTGTTTTAAGGCAAATTGCAGTGCTACCTCACCTGTATTTTAAAATGTGCTTTTAAATACTCTAAAATTCAAACAATATAAGTTATTTCAAATAAAAAATTCTCATTCCTCTGGGATCTAACCTAGGCTTGCTGTACTTAAACCAATTTTTTGAGCTGTCTTTTCAATAAAGTATGAAAATACTTTTATGCTCCTGCTATTCAAAAAGTATGCTTAAAGAAATAAGTATAAAATACTTAATCTAATTTTTACTTAATTTAATATTAAATAATTAACAGTAACACCAAATCAACTGAATACCTATGGAGTAATATTTTAGAATAAATAGACCTTACTTAACTTACTTTTGTGTTCTGTAGGACTGCAACATCAGTACATTTGATGTCATGGTCTCCTGATGGTGAATATTTTGCAACAGCTGGGAAGGTAAGGACAAAAAGAATAACTGAGTTTTTGCAGTATTCTTTATTTGTTTGACAAAATTAGGTAATATGAATAGTCGTGGACCATACATTCTATGCTAGTCTTAGCAAAGGTAAATTATGATCTCATGTAATGCTGTATTTTTGTGTAATTCCATGGATTTTAGCAACAATAAATTGGATTTATCTATGTACTCTTACCGAATACATGAATGAATGACAGTGATACAGGCTTGTATGTTTGTATGTGTAATATACATATATATATATGATTTTTTTTAATATGTATTAAAAAATGGTTTATGTATATCTAAAAATTCGTCTAGTATACCTAGACGAATTTTTAGATATACATAAACCATTTTTTCTACTTCTGTTGAAAGTAATGAGATTGTTAGGATAGAGCACATACACATTTAAATTGGTATAATATGCACATGTCTGGATAAATTTAAGAAGGTTTTTATTTAGTGAATTCTGGGTTCAGTTATCAATTATATTTCTGTTTGCAATACTTTTTGTCAAATCACTATTCAAGCTAAGTTTTCAATTAATAATTCTCTTTAATGTCACCTCTCATTTGAATTATTCCTTTTGGTTTACAAGTCTCAATAGGTAAGCACTTTTTGCTTGCACCTGCTGTTAGTTGAACAGTGAGATAATTTTAGTTCTGAGCCAAGTTTTCACGAACAGTACCAGAACAGCAGTTGCTTATTGCTTGTGATATTCTTTTTGTTACATTTTTAATTATAGCTACCCTTGGCTTTTTATTGCTTTACCTAGGATGACTGCCTCTTGAAGGTTTGGTATCCTATGACTGGTTGGAAGTCATCTCTCCTGCCCCGAGAGAATGAAGAAAAGAAAAAATGCTCAGAGGATGTGCAGTTTTCCTTTGTTTATTTGGCGCATCCCCGAGCAGTGACAGGATTTTCCTGGAGGAACATCAGCAAGTACATGCCCAGGTTTGAAAGTTGCCTTTTTTCAAAAAGCAAGCAAGCCTTTGATCAGATGGTTTTTTAACATTCTGCTTAATGTTTTGCCATCAAGACATGAGACTTCTCTTCTTATACTTTCAAGAAAAAAAGCATACCAACTCCTTCCCATAAACTTCTGTATCACCAGGTTTAATAACGATAGTCATGTTAACCTTCAGTTATGGGAGAAGCAGAAATTTGGATAAAACAGTAACCACTAAATTCTTGTACGCTCCCCTAATTTCTGCTGTGTCTCTGTAGCTGAGTTACCCAGGCAGTAACTTTGCTGTCTCTGCCATCAGGGGGTTGGTCTGTAATGTGTTACTCACATCATGCCTCGATGGCATCTGCCGGCTGTGGGCAGAGACGCTGCTACCCGAAGATACTCTCCTGGGAGAGCAGATCTGTGAAACCACCACTTCCAGCATCAGCAGCACCATCTCTCAGTCTGGAAAGCAAAAGGACACTATACAGCATGCACTAGAGGTACATGGAAATACTTCATCTATGAAATTTTTATTTCACGATTCTCAAAACTTCAAATATTTAAGGATATAAAGCTCTAAGAATGTATATTATGTAATCTCTATATGCATAACAGAATAACCTGAATTATTCCATATCAGGTTTTGAAGTCAGTTACTAAACACTGAAAAAGTCAGAGACTCCAACTCTGCATTCAAGCACCATGTTTTTAAAACTCAGTTTGCTTTTTCTGTAGTTAACTAACAGCGATGGAAGAGGCAATATTCAGTATGGAATGGTAATGATGGTTTCATTCTGATTTGGTCTGAAAGTCTAATTATAAAGACAATGAAAAGAGTAAATAAACTCTTTTAAATTCTAGTTACTTCATTAGATAATTTTGTTTCAGTGAGAGTCTTATATTCTTAGCGAGTCTATAAAGTTTACAGTAAGAGAAAACCTGTCTGTAGAAGTGGCTGCTCCTATTGCTTAACAAGCACCTTTTTCCCATGAGAAAGTGCATACTTTCATCTACAGCCATAAATACCTGTGTGAGAATGTTTGAATTAAGCTGCGTGGGATGTGTGAGAGTATCTGAGATAAAAGAGAAACATCTGCTCTGCCATTTAGTTGTGTGATTGGTCAGTCTCCTAATCACTGGCTGCGTAGTTGATCCTTCTTGTACACAGAAGAAATGTATAAATACTCAAGTGTGTTTAATAAAGACAATCCTGCTAGATGACAAAGTGGTGGTCTATTATCCTCAATTGCTACACTATCAGTATAAAAACAAGGAAAGATAAGAAAACAAAAAAAAAAAAAAAAACCCACCACTCATTTGTAGACTATTACAATAAGACCAAGTTTTTACTTCTTAAATATCATGACCATAATTGCACTTTGGGCTGTTCAATCAGTTGTGCTCTTTACATGCTCTGAGAAATTTTCAGTCATACAAAAATAATTAATTATAACATTATATCACAAAAGTTGCTGCATTTAGATAGTTTTAATCTTGTTCATGAATGTTGTGCAAAATCCTGTGTATTTTTGTGGTGTTGTTGAGTAGATATTAAAAGAGCTTTTAGAATACTGTTAGAAGAGCTTTACTTTTAGGTAGATCAGATGTACATAAGTGTTACTAATCTGTGTTGAAATATGTTTAAAATAATCCTTTTGAAATTAGTCTTCCTTTCTTTGGTAGAAGCTATAGGCTTTATATAAGTGTAACTTTTTATCTTACAGTGTTTTTGGTATTTATTAGTCTATTTTTTATAACTACAACAGACAATTCATCATTTGAAAAATATGAGAAAAGGACAAAGGAGGTCTTCAGTTCTTGTTACCCACACGGATGTACAGCCAGATCAGCAGGGCACTCATGAAGTTCAGCGTCACATTTCCCATCAAGCAAATGCACTTGGTCACTTCCACATAGCAGCAAGCATCAACCCTAATACAGGTGAAATACAACCACTTATTAGACTGCAATAATGTATTTGCACGACATGAAAAAAATAAAGGAAGCTGATCTTTGCCTAATTAGATAGAGGGAACTTGTAGGAAGTCTGTTATTTGGCATAGAGTTTTTAAGACCAATTAAGCTGAATTTATTCTGAATACCTTCAGCACCTTTATGAGCAAATTAAATTCATCTTTGCAGATCAGAAGGCAAAAAAAGCATAAATTTCCAATCTTGTTGATGTTTGATTCTTGGGTTTGGGAGCTATGGTATGATGAATGGAGTAATTGCATCCTACAGAATGTAGTGATTGAAAAAGAGCTGTATCAGAGTCTTTTGGTGGGAAACCAGCTGCTTTTTATAGAATAATGCAGAAAGAGCAGTGACGCACTTTACCTAAAATCCATACATGAAAGTCAACACTGCAACATATGAAACTGAGCAGTTAGAACCACTAAATACCATTTACCATTCACATAAGAATAATTTTTCATGTGTTTTTTTTGACCTTAAAATATCTTTACTGTTTTCATTATAATTGGATATAAAATCTTGATCTTTACCTTTTTTACATTGCAGGCACAAATGATGTTATACCTAAAATAAGTGAAATGTGTGTGGATACCTATATGAATAAAAATATGTTATTATATAACTTTATATACTTTTATATAGTTTAATACATAGGGTTTTATTTTGTTTCAAAATATCCACAGATATTCCTTCGGTGTTGGCTGGAACTGCTTTTAATATAGATGAAGGAAGTGGAGGCTTCGTTGTCCACTGGCTGAATAATAAAGAATTTCATTTTACATCCTCTATTGAAGTATTCATGCAGCATCTAAGACAAATTTCAGAACAACAACTAGAACAAGATTTTGATATTGAAGCTGAAGAGGAAGAAGAAACAGAAGAAAAAGAAAAAGGGTTACATATGAAGTTAGATCATGGTTAGTAATCTGGTTAGTTCTGATCAGTTAGTACTACGAGCAGATTAAAAAATACTGTGTTTTGAATGGAAACTGATAGGGCAATCTTTGCATAAAATGGCACATTTCTGTTACAGATTTGTCTATAGACAGAGAATCGGAGACAGGGACTGGTACTGGCTCTTCAGAACATGAAGATGGAGAAAGAGAGGGAAGCCCCAAAACATCTCTGCTAGCAGGCCCACGCCTGCCTCTGCCGACAGTTTTGTTGGACCGGAAAATCGACTTGCTCCTAACGGAATGGAACAGGAATCCAGATATGCTTTTTACTATCCATCCTGTTGATGGCACCTTTCTAGTGTGGCATGTGAAGTATTTAGATGAACACACTCCAGGCATCTTTCGACAAGTTCAGGTATGGCATGTGTGAAAGGGTTCTATTATTTTTGATGTTAAGAAACATTGTCCTTTGCTTTAGACCTGAACATCAGTAGGAATTTCAAGTACTTCCTGTAAAAAAGTTAGCATTTATTCAGGCTGAAGCCGAGTTCTATATTCTAATTTTTGTTTTGTTTTTTTTTTTTTTTTAGGTTTCATTTTCTTCCAGGATTCCTGTTGCATTTCCATCTGGAGATGCTAGC